TACTTTACATACCAGTCACTTCACATTTTATTTTTAACTTGCAGGATATCTGGATATTTCTAATAAGATATTCGGTACTCGTCACATGGATCTACAAGTGCTTATTTGATATCCCCCCACATCTAACGTTAAATAGTATAAGTCAATCTCCGAATAGATCATATGATCTCATCTGATACATAGAAAATCCGACCACAAAATTTTTTTAAAGGCATAACATGACAAGGACATGAACAACATTGGTTTAGTGGAAAATTTTAGAACGTTTTTAATTTTAACATTAATTTTCTACATACGTAATGCGTAGGCTGAATCAATAATTTTCTATTTCGGGTTGTGACTGTTTCTATGCGATTAACATATCTTTAATTCTGTAATTAAAAACGCTAATTTAGTCATTTTAATGTTGTTGTACTACGTTATGGCGAAATTCTGTTTTCTCTCTAAAAGGAATTGATAAGACTTTCCATTATCAAAAGAAATTTTATTTATCCTTTTTTTGTTACAACGCGTATTGTTACCTAAAATTATTGACTTAAATGATAAGGGTGCCAGGGCCTCATGTATGCAGTAAATCTTAGTTGAGTATGCAAGGTAAGAACGAATATGTTTATTTTATTAGACATCATACAATTTATACAATTTCGATATAGTAATCTCTTGATTTCGATAGAAGTAGATAATCTCTCTCTTTTTTTCTCATTTTGATGTGTTTTCGTCAACTTAAATTTTAATGAGTATGTCTGAACAATCGAGCCAACCGCTGTATGCTCCTAATGAACGGGACCCATTAATTGAATCAAGGGTAAGTTTTAAGTATATCCTTTATTTTGGTTAGAAACTTATTAAAGTAAAAATTTATTTGTCGAAAATCTTTAAAAGTTTAAAAAGAATTCTCATAATTTTTAACACCATATGTTTTTTTTTAAAAAAAAAATAAAATAACAAATTGTTTTCCAAATTCATTTTCATGGTTTATAAAGTACATTAAAGGTCCAACAATCTCGAATTATATCTTGAAATTCTTGAAAAAATTGCAATTTATAAAAATTTTTACTATTGCTTTGATAATTGGTACTTTTTCCATATTACATGAAAGGTGTTTACATGTTTACATTTTTTGAAAATTTTATATTTTTTTTAAACAATCTCGTTTTCGATTGATTGTCTTTAAAAGTCTTCAAGAATATGACAAGTTAATTAACTATTCGCCTATTTGTTGTATAATAATACTTTCGATTACCCAATATATAACTATAAATTTCAAATATTAGCAAGCAACCTGAAGGTTATGTGATATATAATGCCAACATTTATACAGTTGATGAAAAAAATCCAAAAATTGAAGCTTTCACGGTTTTGGATGGAAAATTTGTTGATGTTGGTACAAGATTGGACTTACTACAAAAATGGACTAATCTTAAAGTATTTATAATTATTATTTATTGCGACTTTGGTTGAAGCAGCGAAATGAGATTCAAAGTTAATACGTTCTGTTTGATATGAAATTTTTAGCATATAGATTTGCAAGGTCGAACCGTAATCCCAGGACTAATTGATGCACATGCGGTATAAACTATTTATTTTCATTCATTTTACTGTTATATAATCCTAATTATTATTTCTTTTAATAGCACTTAATGTATCTTGGTGATGCATTAACGTCTGTTAATCTTGTCGGTGCAAAATCTATCGAAGGTACTTCTAATAACACATGACGTATAACGTAATATCTGAAAGATAGATTCATTTTATTCTGCTATAATCATAACACTGTAGAAGTAAATCAACGAATTTATGAATACATTAAAGCGCATCCTGATAAGAATGAATGGATCATAGGATATGGATGGGATCAAACACTCTGGCCATCGAAATCTTTTCCGACTTTTGTACTGTCCAATGAAATTTCATTTTATCCAAATATTTTGATAAATTTATTATTCACTTGCCTAATTTTGAAAATTCCTGTATTTTCACAGAACGATTTAGACAATGACCCAATATTATCCCAATATAAAATATTATTAACACGCATTGATGGACATGCTTTGTGGGTTAATGGAAAAGTCTTAGACATACTTGAAAAAAATAGCATTCCGCTTGAAATTGATGGTGGGGAGATTGTAAGAGATAAGGAAACCGGTCAATTGACTGGAGTTTTTGTTGATAATGCTATGAAACTGATTTGTAAGTTTATTTTATAATTATTTCATTTGATATATATTTTAGGCTTTTTTACAGTAAAGTCATGCCTAGAGTAAAAATATATATATTTGAAGCATGATTTTGTTATGAAAGTACTTATTTGGTAGTTTTATCTAACATTAATTCTGATTTATTTATTTAAAATTTTATAGACCAGTTATTGCCACAACCAACCGACCAGCAATTATTAACAAATCTCAAAGCGGCAATTTATGAAATGCATTCTCATGGTCTTACAGGGATTCACGATGCGGCTGTTTTGCCTAAATTACTTAAATTTTACAAAAAGTATCTTGGAATTTTTAGTTCTATCTAATATTTGTAATTTTCACATTTTGATTTATTAATTTTTTTTTCCTTAGTACTATTCTATCAAATCCACAAGATTTCAATATAAGAAATTATGCTATGGTTGAATGTGAAAACAATACTTATTGTGGTGATCAGATTGAGAAAATAGAAGGGTTAGGTGATGGAAGATTAACTGTTAGAAGCGTTAAAATGTTTATGGATGGTGCATTGGGAAGTTGGGGTGCTGGTGGGTTATTATTTTATCTCATTTAACTAGTGAGTTGACACGTAACTTTATTCTTGCATACTTATAATATCACTTTCTGTTTTTATAGCGTTATTGGAACCTTATTCTGGTAAAACCATATATTAATTTGTATTTTTGATAAATGAAATATCTTGAATCTATTCAAACAACTTGAATCATAGATGATCCAACAAAGCAGGGGTTATTAATCTCTGATCCAACTTTATTACCACCTGTGATTAGTCAATGGATGGATAATGTATTATAGTATTTTAAAAAATATTTTCAAGTACCGTATAAACTTTATATTATTGAAAAACCAACTTAATGTCTTTTTTTTATACAGGGTTTCCAAGTAAACGTTCATTGTATAGGAGACAAAGCCAATCAAATAATCATAAATACGCATGAAAAATGCTTTAAAGATTATATACTTTCAAAACAAAATGGTAAAAATATTACTGAAGAAGAGTTGATTAAGGAAGTTAAAAAGTTAGGTGAAAGTGTTAGATTTAGAATCGAGCATGCGCAAATATTGGTATGTTAATTACTATGTGTTAGAAAATTATTAAAATCATTATTACAGACCACAGGCCATTTAAAAAATTTCTTTCAAATCTAGACACTGGACGATATCAAACGTGTTGGTGAATTACGGATTATACCATCGATGCAACCTACACATGGTGAATTTAAAATTATATAGAGTTTGTGGACAACAATACTAGCGATCCTAACATAGCATTTGTTTATTGTATGCAGCAACTTCTGATATGAAATATGCTGAACAAAGATTGGGTAGCGAGCGTATTAAAGGTGCATACGCATGGCGGTCATTCATTGATGCTGGGTATGGTATATAATGAAAACATATGATCGCTTATGAGGTAAAATTCCAAATTTAGAGTAAAACAAAGCGAGCTCATGTGATGATCAACCAACCGAATTGTGAAAACAC